AATTGTATTAAGTGGTAATACGTATGCTGAGCCAGCTTCAAAAGCTACTTGTGGATGCTGTTGAACTATAGGTGGATTATATGGAACTAGTTGTTGAGGAAATATATAAACTGGAACCTGTTGTGGAGCAACTTGAGCAGTACTTTTGTTTCGTTTGAAGATATTACCCATAATCAATCTAGTGATTTAGACAAAAAAATGCTTCTCTCAACGTTTATATTCAACTCAAAATTATTATCGTCGAACAAAATCAATGATTACTCATAAGGTAGGCTTTTACCACTGATCATGATTTCTCGTCCATAAAAAAAAGAGGGATAAATCATATCACGCAGTTGACGGCAAAAACTATTCATCTATAACATCTCGAAAATATTCATTTATACGTCATTTTCCGTACATTTTTTGTTTCGTTCTTTACGTATATTTGACGCACTATGTCAGACACTAATTATATAAATTATTGTTTGGTATAAGTGCATATTTATTACATGTAAGATTAAACAATCACAACAAGTTCAAAAAGAGTTATTTACGAAGAACAATTATACTCATCTAAAACAAAAAAACATAATACCAAAGACAATAATAGAGTATTTATAGTATGATGAAAATGCATATAGAGAATATTGATAAATGGCCACATGCGATGGCAAATGAAAAAAAAAGTCTTATGATGAACAAAATCGCTAGTGTCATCTATTATAGAGCTTATCATTTTGTAAAATCTAGTAGCCAATAAACATTAGTGCACTGAATTAGTTAGGTCATATAGTTTACCAAGATGAAACAACTAACTAAATTCCTATAAAACTTCATTAATTAACAATCTAAAATTGTTAAGATCATTTTTTTGAAAGAACAAAGTTACAACTAAATTTTTCAATACAAGAAAAAAAACAAAATTTCATATTTTGAACTTTCAGACAAAGAATGAGTGACAATGAAGAAGACACACAGTTACGAAAAGATTTTGTTGAATCATCATCATTTGATTCACTACCAATAAAAAAATGGCTAAAAGATCAATGTCGTTTACTTGGTTTTGAACATCCAACACCTGTTCAACATGCATGTATTCCACGTATTCTTGAAGGTATAACATATGATTTTCATAATATTTAATTAAAATTATACTTTTGAGTAGGTCAAGATATTTTAGCATGTGCTAAAACAGGTTCTGGTAAAACAGCTGCTTTTGCATTACCCATTCTTGATGTGCTTAGTGATGACATTTATGGTATTTTTGCACTTATTCTCACACCGACACGGTATTTTTTCTTATTAGAGAAAACAAACCAATATTTGTTGTTTTTTTTTTCGTTGTCCTTAGAGAATTAGCTTATCAAATTGCTGATCAGTTTCGTGTATTTGGTAAACCATTAGGTTTAAATGATTGTGTAATTACCGGTGGTATGGGTAAGTCAATGATTATTATATTTTTCTTTTCCTTTTTAATACTCTTGTAATCAAAGATATGATGATTCAAAATTCATCTCTCACTGAAAGTCCACATATTGTTATTGCTACACCGGGACGTCTTGCTGATCATATTGAAAGTGGTACTGAATTTTCATTGAATAGAATAAAATTCTTGGTAATAAAAAAGAAACTAAACACTATAATTCAAAATTTCCTTTATAATTTTTTTGTTTAACTTCAGGTACTTGATGAAGCGGATCGTTTATTAGAAGATAATTTTGGTAAACAATTACAAACTATATTTTCAATATTACCAAAACAACGACAAACACTTCTATTTAGTGCAACAATAACGGATACAATTAAACAAGTACAATCAATATCAGAACGAAAACCATTTGTATTTGATGGAAATTTATTGTAAGAATATATCATTTTTGATGGAGAGAAAAAACAAAAACTTATGTTATATTTTAATTAGACATCAACCAGTAGACAAACTTGATCAATATTATTTATTAGTACCAGCTAATGTTAAAGATGCTTATCTTTTTCATCTATTATCTTTATATCATGGTAACAATGATGATGATGATGATGAAAAAAAAACTAAAAAACATAGTAGTTCAACTATAGTTTTTACTAGTACATGTCGTGATTGTCAAATTTTATCTATGATGTGTCGAAAATTTCATATGCCATCAGTTGAAATTCATTCATTAATGAAACAACGACAACGTTTAGCTTCATTAGCAAAATTTAAATCTCTTCAAGTTCGCATATTATTTGCTACTGATGTAGCATCAAGGTAAAAGAATTCAATAATATTGATTGAATCTTATACACTTTTTTTTCTATTTAGAGGCCTTGATATTCCTAGTGTTGATCTAATTATTAATCATAATGTACCATTTGTACCCAAAGAATATGTTCATCGAGTAGGACGAACAGCTCGTGCT